GGTTCATCACGAAGTATTGGGTCGAGATTTGAAGGAAGGTATGGGGAAGGGCTAATCACCTAAACCCCTCATCTAATCCGCTCTGCCTTCCCCAAAAATCACACAATGGCACAGCAAGAAGGGCCCTGTGATCTTTCCGGTACATAGAGTCCTTTTTTTTTGAGACGAAGTTTCGCTCTTGTTACCCAAGCTGGAGTGCAATGGTGCGATCTCGGCTCACCGCAACCTCCGCCTCCTGGGTTCAGGCAATTCTCCTGCCTCAGCCTCCTGAGTAGCTGGGATTACAGGCATGCGCCACCATGCCCAGCTAATTTTTTGTATTTTTAGTAGCGACAGGGTTTCACCATGTTGACCAGGATGGTCTCGATCTCTCGACCTCGTGATCCACCCACCTCGGCCTCCCAAAGTGCTGGGATTACAGGCTTGAGCCACCGTGCCCGGCCCCATACAGTCTTTAATGGTCTTAATTCAATCCTTAACTGTAGGGAGTAATGAGAGTACTCAAAAAAAAAAAAAAAAAAAAAAAAAAAAAAAAAAAAAAAAAAAAAAAATCTGTGCCATCTTTGGAGCAGGCAAGGTAAACCTTTCAGTATTCTATTTTTCACATCTCTCTACATAGAGGAAAGCAGCATGGTAATGGCCCAGTACACCTTGTCACCTTAAAAAGGAGCACAGGAAGGGTATATACCTTATGTGCCTCTCTATGCCCAAGTTTCTACCAATTGGATTAGACCTTCTAGCACATAGCCAGGCTAATGTCTTTTCTGTTCTCAGCCTAGACATCACTCTACTAGAAAGGAAAACCGCTCCAGACTGAGTTAGACACTTTTGCATGGCTCTTCTGCAGCCCACTACAGACCTCTAACAGGCTTTATCCCAAGGTATTATGAAGTTACATTGATCTCTCTGTCTTCCTGCTGGACAAGAAGCTCCATGGGGCAAGAGGCCCACACTAATATATCCTCAGCATTCTACAAAAGGCCTGGCACATCAAGGCTCTTATCAAATACTTGTGGTATGAATAATCAGTGATGCGTAAGTAAACAGTAAATAGGTGTCAGATGAAAAGGAAAAAAAAGAAATGAATAAATAATGCAAAGGGAATAAATATAGTTATTGTCCTGACTAATGAAATTTTGGTCAATTTTGTGTTATCTAATTTACAAAAAGCATCATACCCGTGTAAAGAAGAAAAGTGACATTGAGAGTAATGACACTGCTTGAAGGAGTGCAGATGGGACGGGTGAGTGGTTGACTGTCAGGAACATAGTGATGAGGGCTTCAACCTTGCAAAAAACAAAGAAACTAGCCAACTATGCCAAAAGGACCAAAGTTGGCCTTACATGCAGTATACTTACAGTTATATACCAGACATGTTAGTAGGCACTGAAACTCATGAAGACAGAAATAACTCTCTAATGCTAAGGTAGCATACCAGATTACTTATTTCTACAACAATAAGAAAAAATCACCATATACGCAGGAAAAACACTTGAAAATTTCTTTTCCAGAAATAATAAAAAAATAAAATATCTGATTCTATATGTCTTAAAAACAAAAAGATAATTAGTCTATAGAGGATTTCTGAAGATTAAACTTTAAGGTGGCTTTTTGGGTTTTGACCTGGATTTTAAATGCTTGAATTTCTTTATTATTATTATGCTTCAAGGTCAGAATCAAAGTAATAGAATGAATAAACTTTACCCACATTCATTGTAAGTAGTTTCCTGTGAAAAGGAATGAACATATTAAAATATACAACATAAAATCACATGAAATATCCAAGCACTTAATTTCATTTCAGCTTCACCATATTAGTTTGCTATTTCAATGTCAAACTTATTCACATAATGTTGTTTTGATTACAACTGAATAGGTATTTTTAAATGTCATGGTATTTGGAAGAAAATGTCTTGCAATCAAAATATACCATTGTGTAGTATAAATTGCAAAAGGATAATTTATGTTTGTTCCTCTACACCATATAAGACGACATGCCAAGGTTTTTTAACATAAACAAATATAATGCAAATGTCCTGTGTAATCATCTATATTTAGTTTTGATTCCTTCAAGATCTATATTGTTTGATTTGGTCACTTTTGGTTTTATGTTTATTTTTACACTTCAGCCTTTTAAAATCAGAATTTCCCTATGTATTCCTTTAAAAAATATTTTGGGTAAAACCAGGTTTAGAAATATAATTTTTCATGAGGAAAAAAATGCTGTCTTCAGGAAAAAAGTACTTGGGGATTATTTACATGCCATTTTTAAAAATACAGCTTCCCAGAGGAACTACTCATTATATGTTACTATTTTAGGTTTACGGAAGAGAGTTTACATTGAAACCTGGGATCTTAAATTCCATCTTAAATTAATAAATTGTACCTTTAAAATAATAGCCTGAGGGGTGATTATGTTTTCTCCAAGGATTTGAAATCATACTCTTTTCAGTATTGCATATTTTTAAAAAGGTAAAACAAAAAATGCGGTCTTTCTTTTTATTTCAATATCTGACCTATGAGCATATTCAAAAGCTATCCTTTTGTTTTCTGTTTTTGACTATCTTTTACCTTTTTATTTTTACTTTCACTATATTACTCAAATAAGAAACTGGTAAGCTGAATTCTGATAAGCACTTTTTTCATTTATAGATATATATTAATATGTATATGATCTATGGACAATATGTAGATTATATACTTACATGCATACAGATAGCCTGTAAGAGAATCACTTATTTCTACAAACATGAAATAATTCTCAGAAACCTTTGGGATTTATCATGACAAAAAATAGTTTTAGTATTGTGGACCAAGTTTACAGACCAGCATATTTTGTTATAAAATTTATATTTTGGTGACCTTTTAAACTATACATACATAAAAAAATTCTTAAGTCTAAGGAAGAATTTTTGTAATGAACTCAATTACATTCTCAATATGTTTTATCCTGTGGTATGCACCCTGGTATGTTTCAATCTTTAAGGAATTATTGGGGAGGGTGGCCTCAGCCTCTGTAATATTGTGGATATCAGAAGTTCTTCTTCTGATGATTATTATTATTGTTAATTTTTTTTTTTTTTTGAGATGGAGTTTCGCTCTTGTTACCCAGGCTGGAGTGCAATGGCGCGATCTCGGCTCACCGCAACCTCCGCCTCCTGGGTTCAGGCAATTCTCCTGCCTCAGCCTCCTGAGTAGCTGGGATTACAGGCACGCGCCACCATGCCTAGCTAATTTTTGTATTTTTAGTAGAGACGGGGTTTCACCATGTTGACCAGGATGGTCTCGATCTCTTGACCTCGTGATCCACCCGCCTCGGCCTCCCAAAGTGCTGGGATTACAGGCTTGAGCCACTGCGCCCGGCATTATTATTGTTATATTATTACCACAGACGCAGGATCTAAATGTGTTGCCCACAATGGAGCTCGGTGGCATGATCATGGCTCACTATAACTTCAAAATTTTTGCTGCAAATCATGTTCTTGGCTCAGTTTCCTGAGTAACTAGAACTGCAGGCATATGTCACCGGCACCAACAAGTAATTTTTTTTTTTTTTTTTTTTTTTTGCCAGTATGTGGGTCATCCTGCTATGTTGCCCATGATGATTTTTAACTCCTGACTTCAACTGATCCTCCCATTTCAGCCTCTCAAAATGCTGGGATGACAGGCATAAGCCACCATACATGGCTTATACAAACTTTTTAAGTCAATTCCTACCAGCTAGAAACTAATATTTTCCCTCTTGTAGACTCTTGTTTTCCTACTTGTAAAAGGAAATAATTAAACTGGATCACTGTATGTCACTTTTTTCTTTTTTCCTTATTTTAAAGTGAGGACTAATAAAAAATACTTGTTTAAATTGTACATTTCCAAATAACATGGGAATGGCTTCTCATTTCTTGGAGAAAATACAAATTCTCAAACAAGTTTCTTATTTATCAAAGACAAAAATTTCAGTAAAAATTATCACATTTTTAGTCAACAAGTGCCTCAGATTTTGAAAAGTAAAAAATATATAGCTTTATAACTTCTATCTTAAACTGAGGATTACTGGACTGCATGTAGTTTTCAGATATGAAAATGCTTACTAGAATTGATCAACTGTAAAAATATTTTCAGTTCAAAGTATCTGCCTTACTTGACTTCACAGAGCAAAATGTTCCTCTTTTCAAAGAGCTATTCACTAAGATTTGCCTTAAAATAAAAATGTATGTTTGTCAGTTTTATCATTCATTAAAAGAAGTATGCTCAGCTTAATTGTTTTTATAATTTACTTGTATGCAAAACTGCAATCTGGGGGCATATTAATGGCCCTTGAAATATTAATATTACCATTTGTTTCTTATTCAAAAATCTCTGGGGACCAGAGCTTAGCCATAGTAAATTTAACATAAATTTATAACTATTTCTCACTAAATCTAAGGCATGGAATATAAACTCATTGATATACATATATTTAATTTACAAATGTGAGTATGAAAATGTTTTAATATGAATTGAATTATTGGGTTATGATTCAACATTCAGAGAATCTATTACTCATTATTCACAGATGCCTTGCCGTCTTGAAATAAAGCAGCAAGCAGATTTCTAAGAAAAACTGTCCATTCTGTAGAAGTTCCTGTTTCTTTCCTGCAGACTCTGAAACCTCATTAGCCAAAAACGTTTTTTACTTTATTCTCCCTAGTTGGTATAAGTGATCCTGTTCGAAAGAAACATCGAAAGGCTAAGAATTTTTTAGTCTCCTCTGACAGCCTGGAATCTGCCGGTGTCAGTGAGGATGATGAAAGAAGAATGGCAAAAGTTTAGAGCAAAGGTAAGTGAAGGATTGTTCCTTAGCTTTTCTCTGCGAAGTTGGAACAGAAACCAGCCTTGCTCTTGAAACTAGAGTTATATACCTGTGCTCAACTCATATTACTTTTGGACACTTTAGCGGTTTCTGATCACTATTTGGGTGCTTTTTCCTATGGTGGGTAACTATAGAAAAAGCAAACAATTACCAGAACAACCTCAGCTTCCAAAGGTTCAGTAGCTTTTGATATTGTCACTGGGGGTGGGGATGCAAGCTGTGCCTTCCTTTTGGCCTTCTGTGTCTGGAGATTGGTGAAGTAGTTGACAGCTGCGAACTCGATAAGAGCGGAGAAGACGAAAGCAAAGCAAACAGCTATGAACCAATCCATGGCAGTGGCATAAGACACTTTTGGCAAAGAGTGCCGGGCACTAATGCTCAAAGTGGTCATAGTTAAAACAGTGGTAATCCCTAAAATAAAAAATAATAGGAAGTGTAATATTAGTACTGGAACTCCTATGGCAAAATCAAATGAGAATGTGTCAGTAGAGAAGATAAAACACTCTGCCAAGGCAAAGTAAGTTTTTAAATATTTTTTGTATTGTAATTGTTCATAATTATTATAAGTAGTGTCATTTCTATATTTAGTAAAGTATCTTTCAATACTTTTTAATACTTAGTGAAGTGGAGTGAAATCTTTTCAATACTTAGTGAAGTGACTTATACATTATCACTGCTCAAAAAATTTTAAGTTTGCTGAATTGTACTAGTTTAACTACTGTAAATTTAAGTCATAAATAGTTCTAGTTGTTTAGGCTTGAGAGATCTTGTAACAAATTATTATCACTTAAGAAAAAAACCCCTTAAATTTCAGATCAGTTTTACCAGTTAACATCTTAAATAATAGTTAATAAATAAATCTGGTGTAAATATTAGCATAAATTTAGGTTATTCAATTTGTTTATATTTCTAACTAGATTTTAAGGTATAGTATTTACTCATTAGAAAATGAAATTTATCACTCACTTCATGGCAGTTTTCCTTCTTGAACTATGACCTGGGGAATTTATACAGTTAGGAAATATATAATCTTGATGATTGACATCATTATGTTGGCATTCTTTTGTAATTTTTGAAAAGATCTATTTTAACATAGTATATCTGAAAAATCAAGATTCATGATTTCAATTCAATTCAGGCCTGACTTATAGGCTACTAAATTTATAATCACGAAAGCCAGGAAAAACATTGGATTTGGTCACCAATGTTTTCACATTGGTGACAAAGCTCTTTTTCTTATTATTTAATTTTGCTTTATCAAAATTAACAGTGATTGTATATGTAAGTAAAACTAAATATGTAGGTTGAATCATAGAAAATTCATGAAATGACAATTTTATATGGTTCAACCTAATAAAAGGAGGATACAACTTATGTATTAGTGTATTTAGTATCTTAATCTTTTGCTTTCATGGATTTGCATGCAGTTTTTACCTTTCTGCTTTTCCTCCATTATGACAAAGAAAATCAAGATAAAGTACTGCATATAGGACATATGAAAGTCATAGGAAACCAGCCAGAATTCTTGCTGAGACAAATTTGTTGTTGATTCACCACACAACTTGTAATATAATAACAGTGATTTTGCATGATACGTATGTCTGGATGACACAGGAACCTATTTTCTTTGTGGATTGAAAAAGTGCACTGGTGTGAATATTTACTCAAAATACACAAGCAATGAAAGGTGGAAGATGAACGTAACGTACACAAAGTACAAAATGTGAGACATACCAAAAACAGTTCTTGCTGGGACGGACTCCTTATTAATCCAGAAAGACACCTGGGAAAGAATGACTGTCATAATGCAAGGCGTGTATATCTGTATCATGAAGTAGCCCATCTTCCTTTGCAAGTGGAAATAAACTGTCATTATAACGTATTCACCTGTTGGAAAACACATACGTCAGTATTATTACTGCTGACAGTCTGCAAAAAGAATGCAGTTGAATATAAATCTTGACAATTTTTGAACTAATGTGGGCTGGATGAAAACAAACAAAGGTACATTTCCGTATATGAGAAAGCTACTTGATCAGCAGAAGATAGAACAAAGAGACACATCAGGTCATTGGTTTCAGTAGGGTTCTTTATATCGTATACATTAAAAAAAAAACTACTTATTCCAAGATCACACAAATCTTTATATGCCTGGTTGCAAAATGAACTTTAAAGAAAGCTACTCATCACTTCAAAACAGCATGCTTAGCTGAGAATGGCTAATGCAAATGAAAAATATACAGATATTTTGAAAATGTGCACCGGAGTCATCTTGCAGGATTATTTCCATCCCTTGGTCAAATGCTTACCTGTGTTAGATTTAATTGTCTCACTAGATACTGTTTGTCCAATCAGATCATACTGGAGAAGGCTTGAAGATTCTTCTGGGACTTCTACTGAATAAAGTGGTCCTTTTTTCCATGTATATATGATTTCACTTTTGGGATAAGCATCTAAATATTTGAAACAAATTAAATATAGCAGTGACTTTGACTAGTTGTCTTTTTTTCTTCAAAGTGCACATTGTCTATTAAAAAGGAAATAAAAACATAAATTTTATTTAATGTTTTCTTTAATCTTGATGACTAAAGCCTCAATTTATGAGACTCACAGAATGATTAAGTATATTCCTAGAATTACACTGATAGTGTCATAATATTTCCTCCTTGATTTCTAATATCAACTAAAACCAAGTAATTACATATGCTTGATGTATTATTTGACTCTCAGAAGCCTGTTATAACTTACAGCTCCCAAACTTGAGTGGACAAGCATGCCCATCCATAGGAAAGTTAACCAGCCTCATGGGACAGTCAGCATTGATGGTAAGCCTGGGAACATTGAAATCAATGGTTCTGCATTAATATTATGGACATATCATTTTGGCAAGGGAAATAGAATTGGAGAAACCTCACCTCATGGTGTATAAAATGGTTCCATTCTGCATTATTCTGAAGAGTTTGTTAGGAGTTGTCATGTTGTGAGCAATTGACTTTTTACCATTTCTGAAAAAAGTGTCAGGTGTCCAGATTTTACTGACCATCAAGTTATTCAAACTCAGAATCTCAGTTGGCCCCCCAAACTTCAACCTCTCATCAGTCCAAGTCTGGCGGAAAAAAACATCCATCGTATACTCCTAAGAGAAAATAAAATATTCGTGCACTCTGGAGAGATAGTTGGCTAAGAATAGTTTATTCACTAGCCTATACACCCAATCTCAAAAATTAAGCAATAAAGCAACTTTTTAAGGCAACAATTTCTCACAAAACTATATTTTTAGTGAGTTACTATTCATCTCAAACTCATAAAGTTTGTATTGTTATAAAAGATAGTGCTGTGATGTGTAAACCTCCCTCCTCCACCTTGACTTTCCTTACTATTCTTCCTCTTTATCTATCCAGTCATCCATATTTCCATCTATCAATATGTCACTCCTTAATCTAGAGAAAAGACTTATGGAAATATTAATTTAGGCTTTGTCCTGGCTGGCCTTTCTACCATCGGCTAGTCTAACTATTTCCCTTTGCACCTCATTCACCCTCAAAGAGTTCTCAGAGCATCAGAGTACCATTCAGTAAAATTCTACACATAGATAAACTCTCCTTGATAAACACACTATAGCTGCACATCAAAATTATTTTATATTGTTCCCAGGGAACATAAAAACAAGTGTTACCATGATTATTCTAAAGAGAGTATCATTTAAGTATGCATAATCAAAATTATGAGTTAATTTGTGGCTTTTATGAAATAACATTAAAATGTTTAAGAATTATAATAAGAGCTATTGAAAAGTCAATGATGACAACTTGCAATTATATCAAAGTATTGCCAATAATTGTGTTGCCTACTATATAAATTCCTTTATGAAACTTATTATGGCAAGTGGTGATTACATTTTAAAAATATAATTTGACAAGCAATATACCCATACAATAATGACCCAGGATATAATAGGGATCTATTGTACAAATAAACTGCAAAAACAGACACAAGCATGAGATAGAAAACTAAGTATACCCAGACTTAAAAGGCAATACCAGATTGTTGTGGTTGTTTATATTTGGAGTGGCTCAGAACACAAATGAAATATATGGTACTAAAATAATCTAGGATTCTGAATAATGCTGACTCTTCTTTCTCCTTATATAGTAAGGTATTTAGCTCTTGAATAAAGCCTTTTCCCTTTCTTTATTATTTTACTTCTTTCCTCTTTTCCTCCATATTCCTTTCTCTTTTTCCTTTACTCCTTCCTCTTTCCTCTCTTTACATCTTCGTTTTTTCTTCCTTTCTTGCCAACTTAAAAAAGCAGAAAATGAAAGTCTCCAATAACTTTTGTATTTATTTTATAAAGTCTCCAATAACTAAATGTATTTAGATTTACATTTCCCTAATAAAACCTAATGACACATCTCTTTAAAGACAGTTATGTTTACTTCAGCATTCATGTTTACATTTTAGTTTTAGAGAGAAATGCTACCTGAGAACTGTCAATGAATAGTACATTTTGTTCTAAAAGATGAGTTCAAGTTCTCACTGCCACTTACTATAAATACCCTCTTACGAATGCTACAGCCATCTGTACCTGGAACAGAGTCCTCAGAACACCTACTGGTCCATCCTCAATGTAAAAAGTGGAGAGCATGAGCCTTTCCAAAAGACCTCTTTTCTGTTTTAATAAAATATACTGATAATGATGTTACCACAAAAGACAATTATGTTTTAAGTTTCATAGATACTCAGTAATCTTTTACATGGCATAGGATATGTGTGGTTTTATTCTCCTCCAATAAATTTGCTAGGGCTTCACAAATAAGGGGAAAGAACTTTTCTCTTTGGACAGAAGAATAAGTGCATAATATATGGATGGAAGAGAGGATATAATCTTCAAAAGTCCCTCAGCTTAAAATGTTCAAGCCGTTAGTGAAATGTGAAGATCAAGCCAGCAATCTGCTCTAATGGTCATGCCCTCCCAGCATAAACACACATATTGTATCATGAATCTGGAACCAAGCTTGGTGGCAGTGCCCATTATCATTAGTTTCGGGACTCCACTCTCCTCCTCGAAATGAAAATACTCAACTCACTTGGAACTCACTCACCATCTCCACATCTGACACGGGCCCAAAACTGGTCACATAAATATCTGTTTTGACTTCAGTAACAGCACCTGAAAGTAGCCCAGAGGGATGGGGCAATTATCACCACTGATGTTAAGGGGATTGAACTTAGCACTCTACCACCAAAACGCTTGTCATAGCCAGTATTTGCAAGACATCCTATTGCATTCCAGTAGAGGGGATCTTTGGGTCTCTCAACTCTGAAAACTCAAATCATTGCGCTTATTTTGAATTATTCTAGTCAGTTGGGAGAACATTAAGGAATGAAAGAACCTGAATTAGTTCTAAAGAAAATGATAATACCTAATGTATATTAATGGCTTTAACAGTAAAATGCTAAGAAAATTGTTTTACATGAATAATCTCATTTTACACTCATGCAACTCTATGAGGCAAACATTGATCATTTAACCACAGTACAATTTAGGGTATGAGGGTTAGAGAGTTCATAGAACTTGAACAAGGCCACTAAAGGTGGATGAGGCAGAGACTGGATGGGAACATACACATGGTTTCTCTCCAGTACCCCTGCCCCTTCCCCCTACCTTGTTTCTGACTCTTCTGGGTCTTCCAAGGGAAGAAGTAGGGAAAGGTTTCTACAGGTGTTTGTGCAGCAAAGATGCAGCTTCTTACCTCCAAATCCCGGTCGCAGCCGATTGTCATAGCCTTCGAGCAAGTTGTCCAGGATCCGACTGATGTTCTCTGAGTAGAGGTCGCCTTCATCTTCGAGTTTCCCTAGGGCATTTTCTAGCCTGTGAGTAGAGAGTCAGTGATCCTTACTCACGGGCTCAGAGAAGAGGTTTTGTCTAAACTACTCTAGTCCACCCTGTTACAAATACATGCTACACCACCTCTGGCCTCTTTTGTGATTTGATATAGGAGTCACCCAATGGGTATATACTTTTCCTTTCCTCTGAGATAAAAATAAAAATCAGGAAAAAGAATCTTACTCACCACAGAATAATGCACAGCCAGGGCAGAGGCGACGCCATCCTACAGTGCACTGAAATGCACAATTCACCCTCCTCCTACCGTCCTCCTCCCCCTAGCCCGCTCTCCTTTGCCAATCAACTGGAGAAATCTTTCAAACCCTTCATATCTCTGTTCCTTGTTTGCCTCAAGTCAGTAATCCAACAGATAAAGAGGTTGCCAGAAAATTTGCAGGGTTCTCCTTTCTTTCTTGTTTCCTTCTTCTCACTTGGAACAAGGTGGTTTGTGGTCTCAGATTAAGTCCTGCAGACACTCCGTTCTCCTCTGACTCACTCAGTTGGGAAATGAGAGTCTGAAGGGACAGTGCATGGTCGGAGAGCAGTGACAATAATCGAATAAGGCATTAGGGGAGATTAGAAGGAAGAAATCCACTGCTAGTTTTGGCATGGAATTAGCAGGGCCCTGTGAGGAAATCTGGAAAGCAGTGGCATCTTGCTGATTGAGATTATGTTCCAATGGGCTCAGCGTTTATCATTTTTATGGTTCACAGAAGGATTCCTACACAGCTCTCACTGTTTAAAAAGTCTTACGCTATTGGGACCCTCTTGGGTTATCTTTCTGATTTTCATCAGCATTATTGGCTATAGCCACACCCTTCTGTATTTAAAAATTATTTCTCATGATTTATTTACCACCACTTGTAAGAAAACTGAACAACCCCCAGCCATCTTGCTGTTGAGCAAGTATTTTTATAAAGGTACTTTGCTGACCCTTCTTGTCAAAGGTGTGTCATATCTAACTAAGGCAGAAGTGGGATCTACTGCTATCTTTAGAAGCTTGGTCAGTTTCTTGAATGCCACCTATAGGATACAATGCCTGAGAAATAGCAGGTCAAAATCTCCTCATGCAGAAATGTTGCAAGAATAAAGCATCTACACATGTGGTTAATGCTGATGATTCTGGCACTATTTTACTAGGCTTGCCACAGGTGGAAAGGAAAATGTCTGAATCCAAATAATAGCATTATATTCTTAGTTCTGGTAGGAGGAAGTTGCAGTAGAATAAGAAAGTCAATTTAAGCATTAAAATTTTAATCTTTGCTTGAAATGAAAAGTATAAAAAGTATTGTGATTATATGTCTCTGTGTGTATCTATTATATGGAATATATATTATAAAATATAATACACATACACATATTTAAACTCAGGAACGTAAGATCAAGCATCAAAAGTCTCAATTCACCATTCTCTGGCCAATTTCATTCCTTATCCAGTTCACAGTCTGTATGTCTGGAATCCAAATTCTACAAAGGCCATAGTAACTATTGCAGACATAGCACAGACTTGAGACATAAGCGTCAGACTTGAGAACATGATAGAAGCCATTTGAGGAACATTTGAATACATTATTGTCAGGGAAAGACTCGTGGCAGCCATTTAAATGAAGATGTTCTCTCTAATTTAAGGAAACACTCCTAAAACCTTCTCGTGTTCATTATGACATCCAATTTCCACATCTCTACTCATTCTTTTTATTCTCCTTTAAACTTACTCCCACTGGTGAACACAATGTATTTTCAACTCACATTGATAGTGCTATTACCTAAATCTCCTAAATATCTGGTATATATGATGCTATTAAATAATTCTCTTCAGATTAATCCCAACTTTTTTTCAACCAGAGAACCCCATATTTATCCCTGTTATCTTCTTAGGTCTGTGTCCTGTTTTTTTCTACTGAAATGTTTACCATTCATCTATGATTTGTGTCACCAGTGAGAAAGCTTTGTGAGGGTTTTCAGACCATTTTTTTGGTCTTTTCTGATTTTTTTTTTTTTTTTTTTGAGACGGAGTTTCGCTCTTGTTACCCAGGCTGGAGTGCAATGGCGCGATCTCGGCTCACCGCAACCTCCACCTCCTAGGTTCAGGCAATTCTCCTGCCTCAGCCTCCTGAGTAGCTGGGATTACAGGCACGCGCCACCATGCCCATCTAATTTTTTGTATTTTTAGTAGAGACGGGGTTTCACCATGTTGACCAGGATGGTCTTGATCTCTTGACCTCATGATCCAGCTGCCTCGGCCTCCCAAAGTGCTGGGATTACAGGCTTGAGCCACCGCGCCCGGCCTTGGTCTTTTCTTCTTAAATTTAATTTAATTTAATTTAAGTTTCAGAATACATGTGCAAGATGTGCAGGTTTGTTACATAGGTAAACATGTGCCTTGGTGGTTTGCTGCACCTATCAACCCATCACCTAAGTATTAAGCCCAGTGTACATTAGCTATTTCTCCTGATGCTCTTCCTTCCCCCCAAATCCCCAACAGGCAACATGTGTGTTGTTGTTCCCTTTCCTGTGTCCATGTGTTCTCATTGTTCAGCTCCCACTTATGGGAACATGTGGAGTTTAGTTTTCTTTTCCTGTGTTATTTTGCTGAGGATAATGGCTTTCAGCTCCATCCATGTCCCTGCAAAGGACATGATCCCATTCCTTTTTTATGGCTGCGTAATAGTCCATCATGTATATGTACCACATTTTCATTATCCAGTCTATCATTGATGGGCATTTGGGTTGATTCCATGTCTTTGCTATTGTGAATAGTGCTGCAGTGAACATACATGTGCATATATCTTTATAATAGAAGGATTTATATTTCTTTATACCCAGTAATGGGATTGCTGGGTCAAATGGTATTTCTGGTTCTAAGTCTCTGAGGAATTGCCACACTGTCTTCTACAATGATTGAACTAATTTACATTCTCATCAACAGGGAAGAAAGTTATTTCTCCACAGTCTCACCAGCAGCTGTTGTTTCTTGACTTTTTAATAATTGCCATTTTGACTGGGGTGAAATGGCATCTCATTGTTTTGATTTGCAGTGGTGTTGAGCTTTTTTTCATGGTTTGCGGGGTGCATAACTGTCTTCTTTTGAGAAGTGTCTGTTCATGTCCTTTATCCACTTTTTAATTTTTTTCCTATAAATTTGTTTAAGTTCCTTGTAGATTTTGATATTAGATCTTTGTCAGATGGATATTGCAAAAATTGTCTCGCATTCTATAGGTTATCAGACAGAATTTTTTTCACATGTAAAAAATAATCATGAATGATATTGTATATTTTCACATATATTCCTATAGAATAGGTATGCTTTTCTCATTAAAATGATATTTTCAAGAAGAAACACATAATAGTTAAGTTACTGTGCCTCTAGACAAAAGATTAACACACCTGATTCTATTTTTCATAGGTTTTAATCAATAAGAAATTAATGTAAGAGAAGGAAGACTTTTTGTACTCTCAATAGGAAGAATAATAGTAGAGCTAGAAGGGATAATAAGCTATGTAATCTTGATCATTTTACCTCTGCTGAGCTTCCCTTTAAATGAATGTGATAGACCTAGAGATATCTAAGATACTCAACATCTATAATCTGAGAATTTGTATCATACGTTAGTTTCTATATGTAATAAAGTCCCTTGTTCACACATTTGTCAGAATTAGGGTAGACAAGATCTATTAGCAACACTGTTAGATTGTAATTATTACTTTCCAGTGGAACTAGCAAATAAAAAAAAAGGAGTTTACGAATATGACAATGGCTGCGACTTTGGGGGATGTATGGTCATATTTATGTGGCGTTTTGACTATACAAATCAGTTATCAGAGCTCCCTCATTTAGAGAATTACTTTCATTTGGCAAATTTGAGAATATCTATTTCACACCTGTCCATATCACAGCTGTTTCTCCAAAGTATGTTCTCTTTTATGTCACCTTAGACAAACATTTGCATGCTCTGTTGTTTATCTCCACTGGGAAGCATAGAACTACCATCCTCCCCAATAATACTGCTATTAACATGCTGGATTTTGTAAGAAAAAATAATAATGTGAAATCATTCCTTTTGCATCCTGTACTTTATTTAACTCCATATACCACCCACACCAACACAGCTTTGTGTATATAAAATAACTTATTAAAGGTTTAGTGATAATTAGAGAAAATTACTGCACAGAAAGAGCAAACTTGGCACCAGACACTAAATGGCACTTTTCATAATACGAAAAAATCAATAGTACATGCATGCATATATAAACAAACCAAATGTTCAAGATAGATACAGAATTGCTTCTTGGATAACATTTACTTTCACCTTCTCATGAAAAATTTCTATTGATCTTTTCAGAAAACGACATTGAAAGTGTGCTTTCTGTAAAAATTGTGTTCCTCCACAAGTGGGGGATTATATAAACTGGCAGCCATTGTGTAGAGGCACAGAATGCTGTTATTCTACACATAGGACAGTCCCCTCAAAAATAATTATCTTGCCACAAAACATCAGTAGTACCAACACTGAGAAAACCTGCGGTAGAATAAAACCACTCAAACTTTAGTGAAATGTTTCTAGATGAATAATTCAGCCTCTCAAGTCCACTCATTTCACAGTATCTACACAGCATCATAAGTCTCTACTTCTTGTAAGTCTTTACTTCCCCCTTATAATATATTGAGAATGGCCACTTGCTCACACATACAAACATACCTATGTTCCTGAGATAATTGAGGATGTTAAATTAGCACCCAATTAAAGAAAGTTAAAGCAAGCAACACAAATATAACGATTATAGTTGCAAATTTACAAAAGGATTGCTATGTAAATATACAATTAATTAAAAGCAGGTAAATAACTTCAATTGATGTATGGTTATATATATTTACAATTCACAATGAAAATAGTCAAGAAACATGAAAGACAGTCATTATTAATTAAGAGAAATAAATTAAATTAAAATGAAACAAAAACTTTGTAAATTTATCTCATGGTCATAAATTATTAAGAATTCTTGGGCCGGGCGCGGTGGCTCACGCCTATGATCCCAGCACTTTGGGAGGCCAAGGCGGGTGGATCACGAGGTCAAGAGATCGAGACCATCTTGGTCAGCAAGGTGAAACCCCGTCTCTACCAAAAATACAAAAATTAGCTGGGCATGGTGGTGCACGCCTGTAGTCCCAGCTACTCGGGAGGCTGAGGCAGGAGAATTGCTTGAACCCAGGAGGCGGAGGTTGCGGTGAGCCGAGATCACGCCATTGCACTCCAGCCTGGGTAACAACAGCGAAACTCCATCTCAAAAAAAAGAAAAAAAAAAAAAGAATTCTTACAGACTGATTACAGACTGATACTCAATGTGATGTTGTCAATGGGATATGCAATTTATATTTGAAGAAGGGCAATTTGTCATAGGCGAGACTGTCCCATACATTTCAGGATACCTAGGATCTCTTGTTCTTACCCACAAAGTGTCTCTAGTATTCTCTATGCATGCTAAAAACCAAAT